GTAGTATATTTGTTCGGGTACAGTAGTATATTTGTTCGGGTACAGTAGTATATTTGTTCGGGTACAGTAGTATATTTGTTCGGGTACAGTAGTATATTTGTTCGGGTACAATAGTATATTTGTTCGGGTACAATAGTATATTTTTTCGGGTACAGTAGTATATTTTTTCGGGTACAGTAGTATATTTTTTCGGGTACAGTAGTATATTTTTTCGGGTACAGTAGTATATTTTTTCGGGTACAGTAGTATATTTTTTCGGGTACACTAGTATATTTTTTCGGGTACACTAGTATATTTTTTCGGGTACACTAGTATATTTTTTCGGGTACACTAGTATATTTTTTCGGGTACACTAGTATATTTTTTCGGGTACACTAGTATATTTTTTCGGGTACACTAGTATATTTTTTCGGGTACAGTAGTATATTTTTCGGGTATAGTAGTATATTTTTCGGGTATAGTAGTATATTTTTCGGGTATAGTAGTATATTTTTCGGGTATAGTAGTATATTTTTCGGGTATAGTAGTATCTCCCTCAAACCGCAGCTGTCTCATTTACAAGCTTACTTGTTGGTGATTAATGATCGCATCTTTAGGTATTTTTTCATCAGTTTCTGACATCTGAAAGCACAAAAAGAAAAAGAAATTACTTCTACTTTTCTAAAACAAAATTCCACCTCTTCCCAGATTTATTTATTTGGAGATGAGCTATCCGATCAATGGAAAAAAGACATCATGATGAAATCCTGAGAACTCACTTTGGATCTCCAGAAAAGCTCAGTTGTACAGGTCTGATGCCATGATGAACGATGACAGGATCAGGATTGTCCTTTAAAAATACAATTGAATTGTCCTTTAATATTCTACAATAAGCTATTGAAGTTTGTGTCTAAACTATCTGAAATCACGATCATTACGGGCGATGGGTCCGGCGTAGGTATAGAATGAAAACATACTGTAATTTCCTAGCGGAGGTAACGAGCTACTATACGTTTATGCAGTAAATCGCCATTACCTTGTCCTGACCTCGTTCTATATCATCAATTCTTATTGAGCTTGGTTTCTGGAAAAACAATGTAACAGAAATTATTTAAGAGGCAATTTTTTCAATGTCACGTAATGTATTTGCACTAATGAAATGTGTTCAAAACCAAAGTTACTCTTTTTGGCGTTCCTCTCAAAATTACTTTGCATTAGTTTTATTTTTGAGCGTGCGTTACGTTCATTTTGCTTCTTACCCAGCCAGGTCTAGTGACAATAGCATTGAAGCAGGATCCGACAAAATCCTTCCAAGATCCCCGGTCACGTTTGAGAACTTTCTAAACAAACAAATTTATAGCCACGGAAATGAAATTATCACTGCAGGTCAAAAGCCACATCTTCCAAAATCAACAATGGCGGACACTTCGCAAAATATTGGGGGGAGGGGGCGAATATAAGTTGCCACCATATGAACTCCTTTTGTTGCTGGAAATCTTAGATCATCATCATCATCGATCGTCATCATCATAATCATCGATCGTCATCATCATCATCATCGATCGTCATCGTCATCATCATAATCATCGATCGTCATCATCATCATCATCGATCGTCATCATCATCATCATCATCATCATCGATCGTCATCATCATCATCGATCGTCATCATCATCATCGATCGTCATCATCATCATCGATCGTCATCATCATCATCGATCGTCATCATCATCATCGATCGTCATTTATTTTGCCGTAAATTTCATGCAATATATAGCTCAATCTATAGCCTACTAAGCTTTCATTGTCGAAAAATAGTTGTGAACAGTTATTCAGCTATCAGTCAAAGGGTTCCCGAAATTATTGGGGACTGAAAGACAATTATTATATTAAACATTCGACCTACCTCGGTTATCAAGGGTTTGTGGCTTTTCAGGAGATGTTCGAAGACTTTCCTCATTGACAGAAGTTCGTACTTCTCGCATCCGTCATCGGAAACTAAAAAAAAATAAATACTGGTTTTATTACGACTGCTGGGGACGGTTTTGTGCAAGTGCGCATTAAAACGTAGATAAGTTAATTACGTACCGCTAATCCTGTGTGTGAATCTTGGCAAGAAATGGAACAAATCGCAATTCTCTTCACTTTCTAAAAACAGAGGGAGAGTTTCTGCCTAAAAACACCTCTCTCAAAGTGTGAATTTCGAAGTGAATAATCGGCTAGTATCCGCCTTGGGTAAATTTCCATATCAGTCCATCAGTGTTGATTGCGAGGGTTATTGAGTTTCTCACCCATTGGTGAGCGGATTTCCCAACAGGCTATTGTCCAATTAATAAGGGATCCAATGTAAAGGTAGCACTTTCTTCTCAATTATTTTAAGATCTTGAGTAGAGGTCCGACTAAGGACTGAACCCGGGTCTCCCAGCTTCAAAGGCAAGCGTGGTGATACCACAAGTGCTGGTCTAAGTTCGTCTTGAAGGGATATGCCTGGATAATCCGTGTTGTGTTTATGCAAAGACTGATAATCCTGACAAGACTGATAATCCTGACAAGACTGATAATCCTGTCCCTAGTAGAAATCTCACGAACAATGGTTATGTACCTTCATCGCGTTTGATCTTCCAATCATACATTTCCAAAAGATCGTGAAACAGAAACTTCGAGAATAGATCAAGATCTTGGATACAGAAATTCTATGAAACAAAATGTATTTTAAAACACTAATCTCTTTGCCCTCCGTATACCGAGCTAGTTACTTACACTAACTTTATTTATACTGGATAACTCAATCAGTTATAAACTCTTCTCGCTAAAGAGGCATATGCCAGAACTGGGTCTGGGATCATAAAATTGGAACAAGTGGAACAGAGGTAACTTTTTTATGAGTTATGGCCCAGGAAATCGAGAATTCTAAGCTCGGATCCTCAGACTCACAATCACGCATGTGCACCGTGCACTGGTATTGTTCTCTAGAAACTTTAACTTTGTCTAGGTTTACTAGGAAAATTGAACCAGTCAGAGTGTTTTTAGAGTGTATACTTACAGTGGGTATTGGCTCCTGTATGAAGAATATTTCATATTTGAAGTTGAAACGCGTGAGGAAGCATCGTGGCACTGCATCAAGAGGAGAGTGTGAGAGAAGTGAGAATCCTTCGAATGTGTACGTCCGCCCATTGCTTTCAATTGTCGTCGGATTCTCTGTCTACGGAAACAAAATATTTTACTTGTTCAGCTATAACCTTAAGGCGGTTCAGGAAGCTGCCAGGCTCTCTCGTGCGACAATCGCGGAAGAACCTCCCTGTAAGTGTGTTCGTTACAGAACTCACCATAAAGTTAGGATGAGGAAATACAGTAACCCAGTAATGATATAGTTGTAATCCATTGTTTCCCATTGCTTCACAAGCTTTCGGCAACTAAAATATGAAAATTAAGACTATTTTACGATCAACTACGACAAACCAAACTAAACTAAATTTAGTCATACTAGTAGTAATAGGAAAAAATATGAGAAAAAAAAGGGTGTGTGTGAACCCGTTTTAAAATAGTATAAAAATCAATGAAAATATGTACTGGAAAAACGTACTGCAAGGGTGATACACGTACATATTGGACGGGGGGTGTTTTATAAGGGCGTTTCCCTTATGAGTAATGAGGATTGCGCATACGTGTACGATACTTTCATTTTTACCTCTTACCTCAAGGCCTGGGTTGACCGAACTGATTGAAAAAAATCAAATTAGCCGTGTTTTATAGCAAAAATTAAGCGGAAGTTGTAAAGCGGAAGTGACGTCATTACTATATAAGGTAATAAAAATATGGGTTAGTAAAAACATAGATATAGGAGATCTAGATTGCTAACGTATACCTAGCGCAGGCGGGGCCTACATGATAAATCCAAGATGGCGGTACAACAGGGCAAAAAGACTATAAATTCTATTACGAAAATCAGGATTTTTGCATTTTTTGCCGTCGCATTGTTTTGAAACTTATTCGGTCAAATTTTATGGTAAAGAGAAACTTACCGCGAAGATTTTGAGCATATATATGATTGAATTGGATGAAACCTCGCAAAATTATCCATCGATAAAAGTTCGTGTATAGTACTGATATAGTACTATATATGTAACTTGTACAGTTTTGCTTTAATTTTTGCTCACTATTTGCATAAAAAGCAAATTATAACAGACCATAGATGATAGACCCTCATCCAGTGCTCTCATCAGTTTACTTCTCTAACAAGCAAGGAGGGGGGGGGGGTACATAACAGTTCATTTTTCATAATTATGAGGACAGAGCAGATGATGATGAGAGATGCAAGTATAAAACACCATTCACAAGGCTAGATGTTAACATAGCACAGTATTTCTGGCAATAAAACGCTCCAACTGACCAACTGACCATTTCACACGAACATTTATCGCTGGATAATTTTGCGATTTTTCATCCAACTCAATCATATATATGCTCAAAATCTTCGCAGTAAGTTTCTCTTTACCATAAAATTTGACCGAACAAGTTTCAAAACAATGCGACGGCAAAAATTGCAAAAATCCTGATTTTCGTAATAGAATCTATAGTCTTTTTGCCCTGTTGTACCGCCATCTTGGATTTATCATGTAGGCCCCGCCTGCGCTAGGTATGCGTTAGCAATCTAGATCTCCTATATCTATGGTTGACAACTGTAAACAATGTGGGCCGCACAACAATCCTGTTTTATCAATATTGCAAGAACCTGATCGTTTTTAGCTGTGTAGTAAACATGGTTATAGACTGTTAACGACCCATTATGCACTGTTATACAATGGATTTAAATAATGGTTGAGAATTGCTCAGTTGAGAACTGAGCCACAGTTCAAAACATTTTGACGATGTAAAAGAAGTCGTGTCATAATAAATACGAAATGATTCAGGATTTCTTGTTGCAAATTTAAATGTTATTGGCCGAAACTACAATATACACAACTACACAAGTAGTAATTTTCCAAGCGCGCTCCCCTGCCACCCTACCCTAATAACATTTTTAATTTATCACGCGAAATCCGCGTGACACGTGACCAGCCCCAGCCATGATCTTTCCTCCACAAGAGGAGAGGTAGCAATTGGGACCAATCTCGTAGCCTGATAGCTTGGTTAATGTCACGACTGATCATGATGGATTATTG